GGGGGGGGGGGGGGGGAAATAGGGGAAAAGGAGGGCCCGGCCGCCTGTTTAGGAGACGACGGGGAAGGGGAGCAAGACGAAAGGGGGGAGGGGTGGATAACGGCGTACGTGGGCGCGTGGGTACGTGGGTACGTGGGGGGAACAGTTGCGGCTGGGGGGGCCCGTCCCCCTTCAGGTCGACCTTTCCTCTTTCCTCTCCCCTCCAACGGCCCCCTCTCACCGCCTCTCACCGCGTGTCGTGTAGTAGTGCCTGTGCTGCGGTGGCTCTGTCGGGTAGCCATGTAAAACACACACACACACGCTCAGGACGCTGGTCTCCTGCCACACATGAGTTCAGATCAGATGATCCGATGATGAGATGAGATTCAGATCATGATCGACTTCACTGTCTTCACTGTCTTCGGCTAATCATACGTCGCGGGTTTTTATGTCTCTTTGCTTTAAAACCCTAAAACCCTAATCCAAGGTGGAGGTTTGTGTGCGTGATGTCGTAAAAATGGCGGTCATTGTACGACTTGGTGATATATGCTGTTTGTTTTGGCTCCAGAGTACCGGAAGGTGAAGAAGGACATGGACGAGCGGAAGGCGGCGCTGCTGGAGGCCTTATCCCGTCACGTGACGGCGCTGCTGGACGGCGAGGACCTCCTGCTCCGGGCGGCGGCGGCGGCGGCGGCGGCGGCGGCGGCGGAGCAACGGGAAAAGAAAGAGAAGGTGGCGGAAAAGGTGGCGGAGGCGGATGGTCCGGAAGGAGAGCCAGCTGGTGGGGATGAGGTGGCGGAGGACGGCGCCGCCGCAGCGGCTGCTGTTGATTTGCCGCCCCCCCTGGACGACGCGGTTCTTGGGGATTTGGTGCAGGTGAGGGGGCCCCGTGTGCAGTGTGTGTGTATGTGTGTGTGTGTGTGGGGGAGAAAGTGTAGATGGAGCACGGACGGGTTAACTCTTTCCGCTGCGTTGCTCTTCACAAGGTGACCTGACAGACGGTCGATGTCCTCCCCCCGCTCCTTCACTCGCTCGTGGTTTTCGTCTTTTCCTCCCCTCCCCCTCGCCTGGTGCGTCGCTCCATGCTCTCTCCGCCCTCTCCCCTTCCCCACCCCTTTCCATGTCTCCGTGTGTGCGTGTTTTGCATGTGTGTGTGTTGCATGTGTGTCTCTCTGTATGTATGTGTTTATGTGTATGTGCCTATTTCCTCCACCAGGAGCTTCGGAAGTGGGTGGACACGGCTTCGGAGCCTGGCTACCTGCTGCTGCATGCGAGAGTGGAAGCCCGCGCTAAGAGGTGGGTGGGAGGAGCTGCCACTGCGGTAGGTGGGTAGGTGGGTAGGT